TGCGTTCGAACGGTCGATGTCTGTGTGTAATGTCAGCCCTACGTGTAACTGTCCCGCAGGCCCTGAGTAGGTGTAATGTCAGCCCTACGTGTAACTGTCCCGCAGGCCCTGAGTAGGTGTACTCTGAAGCATTGTGTGGCCCTGTGGCAGTTCCTCACCTCGCTGAAGTCAGAGTCCATGCTGCGCCTCAAAAGGGTAAGATGGGCAATTCTCCCCTCACTGTATTACTCATGTTTGATAGAGGAAGCGAAGGTGTGGTCAGCTGGACAGACGTGTCTGGGTCACGCCCCATCCGGTTAGCTTTTCTGCTCTAAATGCACGACTGGAGATGGGGCTGATGTTCGGTAGAGTAAGCTGACCTGCTCTGCGGACAGGATCCGTTTGCGGCCATCCCAGAGGCGTATAAGGAGCTCCTGGCTAAGTCAGAGTGTGAGCTGCTTAGAGGGTTCCTCACCAAGGGCAGTGTGGACCTCTGGCTTCTGGAGACCCATGAGCTTCTGCTGCTGGTCCTCAAGAGTCCCCAAGCTCCCAACACCTACAAGCCAACCTGGAGGTGAGGTTGGGGGCCAGTGGTAAAGTGTGGGGGGGGGCTTCATATGTTCAGCCAACAAATCCAGACCAAGATTTTATTTCTACCAACCAGTTGAGCATGAAGTGTCAGTCACAGAGTACTCAGCTGATTGGCTGAAACAAAATTTTGATCTGGATTTTTACTTTATGTACCTGGAATGTCCACCACTGAGCATATGAGATACAAAACAAGTTTGTTCTAGAGCAAAATGAGACCAGATCATGGTGTAGCCCCAACCTGACCATAGGGTTTTAAACAAGCTCTTTGTTTACCGTCCTCTGCAGTTTGAAAGACACGCTGGTGTCGTACATGGAGCGGAAGGACCTTGACGTCCACCCAGACATAGAGGAGTTCTTCCCTGAAGAGATCTGCCTCTCAAAGTGTGTAGAGGCCTGGAAATTTGCTGTGGCCTTCAAACAGGAGCGAAGTCTGAAGTGAAACACTCCTCCCACGAGTACCCTTCTTCCAAGCTTGATGGCGTCAATTATTTTTCTCCATTTTTTTCAAATTGTTGATTTTCCTAGTTAAAAACAAACACTCCTTGTGTACACCATGAAACAGGCACCTTATATATATATATATATATATACTTGCTCTTATTTTGTTACCTTTATCCTTCCTCTAAGCAATTACCTTAGAAAGGCCTTGTTTACATATTGCGTTTACACATCTGTGATGACCTCATTCAGGGTCAGGCTACGCTCATGTAATTCAGCTAGACTCAGGTTAAATGCAGCGTGTACTTCGACCAAGAAAGAAAATGGTTCACTGCAGTTCAAAGGATCTTCAGGTACATCTGCCTTTCCTGCTGCTCTGAGCCCTCAGACAGTCAAGTCTGGCGCCTTAAGCTGCTTCGAATGGACTCTGCAATTTTCATATATTGGAACAATTAATGATTTGTCATTCCTTTAGTGCGGTGCATAAGAAAAACTTGTCATGTTTAATAAAAAAAGCGTTTGCATCAACGCAAGTGTCAGACACTGCATTTAGATCTTGTAAGAGTGGATTTCATGTTAACATTTTAAACCCTTTAAAGGTCTCCTCTTCCAGACCATCTTTCATGAGGTCCAGCCTCCGTAAAATCCCTATCTGTATCCTGTTCTATGAATTCTATGAAACCCCAGAAGATCTGTGTTGGTGAATAGGCAGGCAGAAACGCCTTCCGGCTTCCTGGTTTTCCCATCCTATCCTGGATGGCTGCAATGTGTTTCAAGTTTCTTCTGATGGTACAGATAGTGTCTCTGAGCTACATCGCTGGGACACTTCTGTAACGTGACCCCCCTCCCCTGATCTTGTCGGTGCATCGTTCCTTCTGAACATAAACAACTTTGGCACCTGAGTCCCGCATGGTACAATTTCATGCTGTCATATCTAGACTGATTCAAAACTTCGCTTTGGTTTTCCTAAAGATTGCATGCTGAAGTGAATGGGTCCAAAACAACGTTGTTTCGCAGGATCTGGCCAGTGTCCCATCTGTTAAGAGTGCGCCACAGCAGGTAGGAAACGAGAATTGCATTGGGGTGGCGATAAATGAAGGCCAGACGGACACTGCAGTGCTGCCGGACCTGTGATATTACAGAGAAAGGCTAACATTACGGATATTCACACTTAAAACTTCTATTGAAGTCAGACGTTTTTTGCAACCAGCATACACACTGGACATCAACTAGGGACTGGCATGTCATTTTCTGTAATATTTTCAGGTCATTAGCTTAAGACTGAAGCTTCTGACTTTATCAAGGATACATGAGACCTGTGGTAGGCCTGCTAGGCCAGTCTCAGCTGGTGGCCAGGAGGCTGCAGGAGAAGGTGCGATCTCTGGGGGGTGCTAATCTCATGTGAGACCTGATACATAGCAAAAACAAAAAAGCAGATTTTGATTTGTGAATGGAAGATAAATTTTAGTCCCTGCAGGTGCGTGCTGATGTGCTTATGAGCAAAACACCGAGTATGATATTAACACACCTTGACATTTTAAAATATTTTACCTATCCAAAAAACATTTATCCCAAAGTGCTACAAAAGCTTTTATTCAGCCCAAACTCAGCACCAACAGTCTGAGACAATTTGGAATGTCGTTCTTCTTTTTTTTTTAAATTGAAATCAACTTTAAACATACACCTTGCAAAAACCTATTTAAGAGGTGCTGAGAAATTGTGAAAACAAAAACCACATCATTAACCTTTCTACCCAAGACTTTGAGCTCTGGACCTTATAGACATAGGGGTTGGCTGAACGTACAGTAGGTTATTGTAGCATTCGGAAATTTTATGTCATTTGAATACTGAAGTGTTAGAACTTTGGAGTGACAGTTTTTTCCAAAGTCAGTGGCTTACACAATCAATATTGATGAGATAGGTGTCAACACACCTGTAATGGTTTGCATACTGTCGAAGGACACCGCTGTTACTGCCCCCATACCAATCAGTTTGAAATGTAAGAAAGGAAGAGACAATACTAGCCTTTTACAATGTATCACACGCAATGGAGTAAATGTCGATAAATAAAAACTGTTATCACATCATATTACATATTAAGTACGTGAAATTATTGCATCACTTTTAGGATTTATTGCATTATTCTTTGAAAAACAACTCAGATTGTGCCCATAGCAGAAATGCTCCAGTATCAATACTTGGTTCTCTCGTTCGTACTGAATGCACTTTGTAGACCATCCCTGACAAAAGGCTGCGCTTCAACCAACATAGCAACTGATTCTGGGATAGATCCTCCTGCATCTCCTTAAATCTGGGTGTCAGAGAGATTCAGGCAGGAGAGTCTGTACCAGAATCTGTCCAGAGTTCTAAATGATTACCATTGGTCTGCATACACTCTGAAGATCTGGCATGCATTTGCCTGACCATAAACGTATGTCACTTACCAGACACGCAGCTGATGCACTAAGAATCTGAGGGGTAATAACCCCACATAGTAAGATGAGTCTGAATCGGATCTGGGCCAAATGTTCTGAAATCGCCACAGATCCATGAACTGGATCTGGCCTGGCCCTAATCTGCACCTGGTCTAAGTCTCTGTGCCTGTGATCAGAAGGTTGCTGGTTCCAAGCTGCCGTGAGCAAGATGGAGGTCAGTGAAGAGAAGCATTCTGATGCACCAGTACTTATGCAAATAAAGAATGTTTGTTGAATGTGGCTAAAACTCCTTTTATATTCCAGGCTGACTACCGACCAGTTCTGCTCCAGGATCCTCCCTTAACATCTGAAGCTGGTAAGTGGCTCAGTGGACTAAGCCTCTGTGTTTGTAAGCAGGTCACTGGTTCAAGCCCTGGCCCCACTGGAGTGGTAACATGTCTGTGGGCCCTTGAAAATGGCCTTTAACCCCCTCCTCTGGGGGTATTGGCTGCCCCTGTGCTCTGATCTCCAAGCTATGAAGAGCAAGATGGGGTAGGTGAAGAGGTGTGTAGCTGTACTAATGTGAAGAAAAGTGTGTATACCAGCACTTAAGAACAGAACTTTCTTGATTTGCCCAGTTACACTGGAATGCTTCTCTTCACCTTCCCTCATCTTACTCACCATAACTCAGAGATCAGACAGCATGCAGCACTGATGACCCTTTACGTCCCAGGAATGTTATGTTGCACTTTTGGACCTTGAATAGTATTATTAGGTTCTTGCACTGTTAGTGGTAGTTGTTCAGTAGCTCAAAAGCTACTTGCACTTGTACCTGGGCATTCATTGGAAGCTTAGCCTAGCCACACTTATGCTAAGTTGAATCCTTGACAGCATGTATGTTTGCCATGTGCTATTTGCCTCACTTGCTTTGGATAAAAGCATCTGTTAAATCTGTGAGATGAAAACCTGAGTATAGTGCCGAGTTTTAGATGCTACTTCCACAGTGGCCTTAAGGTGGCGCCATTTCCCTGTGCTGTTAGCGTGGATCACGGCCGGCAGACTCATGCTTTGAATTACACTTTGCTGGTTCTGGCATCTCGCAGGTCCTGTGCTCAGCAGCACGTGCTGGTGTCCTAACAGATGGAAGGGATTAAAATGGCAGAGCAACAATGTTGTTGTGTTTGGTATGAGAAGAGAAAATATGATTACTGCCAAAGTGGAAACATACCACAAGGGTGTTATTTGGGGCAAAATGCTTCATGTCTTCTTTTTTAATGATTAAAAATGTTTTTTTCTTTTTCTTTCTTTTTTTCCAACTTAATGGAGTACAAAATGAAAAGAAAAGTTGACCTAGTCTTCACTAGCATTCCTTAGAATTTGTTGCTATCTGGTTGTTATATAAATAAATATCATGTTAAGTTTTGTAAATCTGACATCAGACACATAATGCTAGTTCTAATACTTTCTGTACCTACAGATAGCGAAATGGAGAGTGGTGTCAGTTTTTTATGCATTTTTGATAAAGTCTGTTACTTCTGTTTCGTTGAAGTTCTCCAGAGTCAGCTGTGGTTTTTGCACAGGGCAAAATAAAGAGTGTAAAAAGTTCTCATCATTTTCTGAATCCTACAGCCGGCACGCCTGGCTGACCTGGGGACAAACAGCGAAAAAATACACCAGTTTGGATTTCATATTATAGCGATTCGATTTCAGGACCTAGTCATCTGTAATGTGCAGAGAGCTCCACCCCTCTGCTTGATAGCAACAATAAAACACAACGAATCGGCTAGGAATGGAAACATGATAGGCTGCTTGGAAGGAGCAGAAATATGTCTAGCACTTCCAAAATAACAATGCGAGCTGGGCTCCGCTGGGTTCCGCTGGGCTCCGCTGGGTTCCGCTGGTCCCTACAGGCCTCTCGTGTTAAGTTGTGGGCTTCAGAGGGTTAGGAAGCCTCTCCTTAGCACCGCAGTGAGAGCCGGCACGTAATCCCGGAACGGGGCCATTTCTTCTGCTGACGCCTGTGATCTTCCGCAGTTTTCTATTCAGGAGCAACTACATGAGAATGATTCATTGGTGCAAAAGGGGTGGGATGGTGGCGCAGTGGTCAGCACTGTTGATTCACACCTCCGAGATCATGATTTGAGTCTCTGCCTTGGCTCTGTGTGGAGTTCTTCCTGTGTTGTGATGGGGTGAACTCTGGTCTCTTCCTCCCTCCTCCTCCTCCCCATCCAAAAAATATACCAAGGTTAACTGGGAGTTACCAAATTGCCTGGAGGGGTGAGTGAACGGTGAGCGTGCCCTGTGGTGAGTTGGTGTCCCATCCTGCCTTACACCTGTAGGTTCTGGGACAGGCTCTGTCCTGAATTGGACAAGCAGTTACTGATGGATGGACTGACACAAGACAAAAGAAAGTTAAGTTGGAAAGATAACAGTCAGACAGCATATTTTTATGTAAGCAGAGTGTATGAATCAACAGGCAGGACTTTTCATGCTGGCGAATATGACCCTAAGGTGCATTAGATATAAAGGCTTTAAATACAGTATATTATGTATCTGTACAGGGGTGTCGGAGGCGCATGGATACCCAGGCAGATTCAGGGGGCCCAGCACTTTACAGGGGCCACAGTAGGGGCATGGATACCCTGGCAGATTCAGGGGGCCCAGCACTTTACAGGGGCCACAGTAGGGGCATGGATACCCAGGCAGATTCAGGGGGCCCAGCACTTTACAGGGGCCCTTGGATATGAACATTTGTGCAGGAGGGACCCAAGGTTACATTTTGTCAGAGGGCACAGAAAACATCCCTAAGAACATCCCTGTCTATACAGACAATGCTCACGCTTGCTTAATTCTGTAAAAATGTTGGAAATTTCAATATTTCAACAACCAATATTTAACATATCACACACATACCTTCCACACCTTCCGACAGTTTCTTTTTATTAACTGACTATTTTTTTACTGACTCATTTAGTTCTTTTCTTGCCATTTTTGTTATACATTAAAATTGTAGTCACTGACTCCCAAAGGGATACTAAACACAAACGTTTGCCGTTTTATGTTATTGCAAAGGTGTTACTAATTAAAAGGCACACAGTGAGACAGCTTGGCAATGAACTTTTCAACTCAGAGCAGCTCTTTTAGAGCCAGAATTTGGGTGTCAATTTATTAGTACTTGAAATGAATATTGTACATAAAACTACTGCTTGATTCTAATGTGATATATTTTTTATAAACAAATAATGATTTTTGATATAAAACCAATAAATCTGTAATATTTTTACCGAATTAAGAAAATGCCCCAGGACTTTCAGAGAACAGCAAATACCATTTTATTCATATTTAATACGTCGTTTACATGCTCAACAGATGCTTTTATCTAAAGTAACGTACAGCTGAGAGAACATTGGTCAGCCAGTGCCTGCAGCACTTGGGGTTAAGGGTCTTGCTAAAGGACCTAAGAGAAAAGCCCTTCTATCAGCCATGGGATTTGAACCAGTGACCTACAGCATCCTAACCCACTGAGCCACTTACCCAGTATGTGTGTCTGGTGAGTCCGGGGTTTATTCCAAGTAGCACAGGGTTACACGGCTGAGGAACACCCAGGAAAGGCTGCTTATAATTAACAGCAGGAATACAGTATTAAATAATAATATTATTACTTATCATATTGTAGAACGCGCCGGGTTTGGGGGTCAGAATCCTTCCTCCGCTCCCCGTGTCGTGTGGGTCTCATCCAGTTACTCTGCTGTCTTGCCACAGTCCAAAGGGCATACAGTTAGCTGAGTCCCTAACCTGCCCACAGTGTGTGAGTGTGCATATATGTGCCCTTTGATAGACTGGCATCCTCTCCAGGGTGCCCCTATGACCCTCACAAGCACAAGTGGGTAGAAAATGGACAGGTAATACAGAGATGAAGTGAGAATGTTATCGAGATATCTGTATGTTGCCGTAGAGGCCTCTCAGACATACTGTACCTGTGTCGGTCTGTTTTTAGGGATTCGCCCACTGTATTCCAGGCAGCGCTGTCACCTGTCGATTTGCGTGACTTTGGCAGTTGTGCCATACTTCCTCTTTCCCAGCTCCATAGCAAACTGCCCACTGTGCCTTATAACTTGAGGGACACCTAAATGCCTCTCTAATGCTAGACAACACAAGTCGGAGCCAGGCTCATTTAAACAAATACACATATTAAAACCAGCTGTCTGCTCGGTTATTGTTAATGAATTCATCGAATGGTGTGCAGAATTTTACAAAGCAGTATTGTGCCTGTCATTCTCAAACATTCCCTGATCTCAAGTTTCATTATCGTGCCCGTGAACGTTGGCATATCTACCAATTCAATTTTAATATTTAATACCTTGTTCAAATTTTTAACTGAACAACTGGAGCTTACAGTTATGATAGTGGTTATCTAGAGGTTATCTAGAGGTTATCTAGTCCTCTTTATCATTCAAAACAGACAGATAGCATTAAAGAAAAATCCACATGCTGTCTAGTAAAAAGCACACTGAGTGAATCATAAAACTGAATTTAAGCTCAGGTATAGCTATAGTTCATTTCTTTGAGCCCGATTCTACCAGAACATTAGCAACAACTAAGTTAACCAGCAAGATAGACATAAAAAAAATATGCATTTCTGAGCTGATAACATTAAACGGCATTAATTTTCGCACCAGTACTCACGTCCGGCAGGTAGGGTTGGGCGGTAACATTGCACCCACTATTTAGTCAACTATTTAAAAAAAAAAAAAGCTTAAAAATTTTAAAACTTTATATATATTCAATCCACTGAACCCGTAGTTTAAGATGTGTGTTAAGAAGTGTGTTTGGGCCCTGCTTTATCCAAGGCTCTTAGTGTCCCTGTCATGCACTAGCATGTTTATGAAGGCTCCTATTGGGTTCTTAGGTTTTTATAACTTGCTATAAAAAAATATACAAGCCAATTCAAAAAATATATAAATCTAGTGTATCAAATTTATTTTAGGCTGCAAAATATGACTACTGTCTATTCATCTATGCATCCATCAAACTATACATTTTCTATAGCTGTTTTAATTCCACGGTCACAGTGATTGACCGTAGAGCTTTTGTTGTCCATCAGCATTCCTGTAGGCAGCGTGCGGCCGGGAGGGTTAGGGATCTGCACCTGGGGCCTGAAGGTCATGTGTTCTTATCCTGCGAGTAGTAGAGTGTTTTTAACAACATCGAGCAGTTTACTGAACCCCAGCTGTCCCTGGCGTGCTGGATGCTGGCTGACCCCAAGCGACCCTCACCTGAACATTGCTTTGGCCAAAGAAATGTAAACAAATAATATGAATTAATAACACGACCCCCGACCCCCCCCTCCAATAAATAAAAAGATTATAGACAGATCTGGTGAGGTGGAAGTGGAAAGTGCATAATTTAGCACAGTGATGGGAGCTGGAATTGCCTCACTATAGACAAACGCATAAAAACATTTACTCTCCTGTTCCCCGAATCAGGGCCTCCATTTCAGACCATGACACCAAGTTACACTGACCCTCAGAGTCAAATATCATTTCATCCTTATGATCTAAAAAACACTCATAAATCGAGGGGAGGGGGAGAAGGGGCTCTTTAAAAGAAAATAAAACAGGCATTCATTTCCTGCGGAATTCTTCAGAAGTGCGGCGCTCTCCTGCGTCACGTTGTGTTGTGATGGCTTTAGCACGCCTCTTCCATGTCCCCTCTGGGCTCGTTTGTCTCGGTTTCTGAGGCACAAATCGCAGATAATCAGACAGTGAGGAATGCCAGGCTGTGCCAGGGGGGTGCTGGATGCTCTCCGAAACCTGGGACGGGCCTTTTATCGCCCGACGCTTCAAGGAGGCCTTGCTAGGGCTCTTCCCACGCAGCCCGTGTCTGACTCCATCAATCCCACTACATAATAGCTTCCTTTGGGGAGGCTGCTGGCCAGCACAAACATCTCTCTCTCTCTGTCTCTCTCTCTCTCTCTCTCACACACACACATACACACACACACACACACACACACACACACACAGAAGCTACCTCATGCACAAGATCAGAGGCTAAAACAAAGCCTGAACTTGTCTGCCATGTGTCACCGGAATGATACGTGAGCGGAATCCAACAAAAGCTAACCGAACACCAGAATCTCAAAACGGACAGATAGTCAGAGGCCTAGTACGCCAACAGAGCCGGGGGCTGAGCCAGCTCGCCGACTGTGACATGGAATACTGAAAAAGATACTTACTCTGTGGCGAAATAAGTCAAGCTTATGTCATCTGAATGACTCTTCGCTTCAAATCCACGCCTCATAATCCTGTTCGGCAATACAGGCAGCAATTGCTCTCTGCAGGTTATGGCTGGAGGTCCACATTCTTTTCTTCCAGGAGACCGAGCCTATGACCGAGGCCAGATTGTGCAGAAAGAATAAACATAACTTAGCGAGTACCCCATTGGGCCCCCCTCCCAGGAACTAACACGCCATGCCTTCTAGTGAAACAAACACAGGACTCCTGTGATCTTTTCTGTAACACGGATCTAACTCTAGACAATTGCATTGCTGCCACTTTGGCACCATTAGCACTGTCCTGTTGAGGGCAAATACTCCAAACTTTATGAAGTGAATCAATGAGACTTTGGTTTGGTTTTCCTAATGTTAGGCCAAGGTTGCCAGGTCTCATCCCACAATCCCCCTATTACTATTGGTGTTGCCCTCGACTCATTTTCTAATTATGCCTCTAATAATTTCCAAAAGCATGTTTTACCTCTATACAGGGGATGTAGGCAATCCCAGTCGAATTTGCTAACCCCCGTTTATACACAGGTGTGTTTATCATCAGCCAGCTCCCTCCCCCCCCCCCAGCACAAAGATACTGTAAGCGCATCTGAATGCACGGAGGTGAAGAGCGGCCCCCAGCAAATTCTCTCTCTTTTCTGTCCTGTTCTGTCCTATGAAACATCCTGAGAAAACAGATTTATAGAATCCCAGAACGCTGGGCTCGCCATGTAGGTCGGGTGTGTAACCGAAGGCAGCTGTGCTTTTAGTAGTCTTGCTGAGGAAAAAGAAAAAGAGAGGTATGTTATCTGGCAATGGCTGAGAGGTGACTGATTATTTCTTGAAAATGAAAACCGTTGATGACTATTGATAGCCACTGATGATACACTAGAACTTCGGTAAAGTCTATTGGCTAATGGCAATATACAAAAACTTCGGCAAAGTTTATTGACCAATGATGATACACAAGAACTTCGGTAAAGTCTATTTATTGGCTGTTCCGATTTTCAGTGCCCTGAGCTCTGAACGTCTTCCTGTGCCGATGACAGAATGGGGCAATCATAACCACCCCCCATCCTTTCCAGAGGAGTCTATATCGGTGTAGAGATTACACCTCCCAAGCGTGTCAACAGCTGGCAAGAAGCAGCCAGTAGCTGCATTAGCTACGGTTCCCATCCCTAGCTTCACATTAAGCTGCACCGGGGAACCACACACAGCTTCAATACCCAAAGCACCCAATCTGCAATGAGGTCAGAGGTCACAGGGCATGACTGATTAGCTCATGAGCATCGGCATTGGCTTAATGTCCCAGCATGCTGTTCTGCTCTGGGTATTACAAGATTTTAGTCGGTAGGCTGTCCAAGAATAACATCAGGGCAGGGACACGGGTGGGTGACACGCTCCCAGTCCGGCCTGTTACCGCAGCTCCTCGGGTTCAGTGGTGTTTATGGTGGAGCCTGAGGCCCATAGGCGCACGTGTCTGTGTGAAGATGCCTTTAAACTGTGCCGTGAAGCCATGAGGAAGCACAGTGCAAACGCCGCCTCTCAGCCGTGAATCGAACATAAATTAGACTTTTCACGAGGCAGAGCGGGATGATGTGCTTCTCCTCGATGCGTGGCGAGTCCCTGGCGAGCTGGCCCACACGCAACCCTCAGCCCCCTCCCGGCTCCGGGTACGACTGAACCCCCCAACTCCTGCGTGGGTCTCTGTGAGGCAAGAAAAAGGCAGGAAAAACTCCTCGGCAAATATCTGACCTCTAAGTTCTGGCTCAGATGACAGATGCAGAAGAAGAGAACCTTCTAATGGGTAAACTTGCCCCTTAGTCCATGGGCTATTTCTATGAATGAGCCATCTATGAGAGACGTCTTATATACATACATCTTATATTGATATCCCACATGAAGCAACAGTTGAATTATATTTAGGACTGGTTAAGTGTATCATTAAATGGTTAAGCAGTACCACTGCTGTAGTGTTACTGATTCTCTCTGGATTACTCATTACCCAGGAGGCACTACTAAATTACCGTCTGGATTACTCATATTTTCAGATATCCTTAATTGGTTGAAAAAGCTGCATTTTTACCTCTCTTTGGCAACCGACTCTGCTAATAATAGACTGATATTTTAAGGTAATGCGTTTTGAAACCAAATCCACATTTCATGTCAGCCCACTGAAATTTACCTTTCAAATAACGTTGCTACCAATAAATCCCGCAGAATTTTAAAACCTTTAAATAATTTTTTTTAAGTTCCATGTCAAGGTTTCATGTGAAATATACAAGTTTTATGAAATATTGCTTGCGGTGTCACTTTGTTCGCCAAGAGCGGCCCAGCCATCCCATACTCCTCCGCGCCCTTTACTGCGGCTATTTAAACATAAGTCTTTGCCCCGGCCGGTAAATAACTCCAGGATTATGGTTAATGTCCTCCGGCGGTGGCAGTCTCAATCATTTGCCCTTTTGGAACCTCATAGTTTAGATTGCAGGAGTAAGTGCTGGTGTGTCCTGAGGTATATTTCCGAGGCCCCCCCCCCTCCCTTATAAACGTCAGCTCCTCCGTCTGGCAGGCGGCCAAGTCCTTCCAGCGATATGCTTCACTTCTGATCACTTTCAGCGTCGCTCGCGTGCAAACGGCTGATTCAAACTGCCCCTGGGTCACATTAATCGCAGGAATGTGATGCCCCAAAGTCCGATAGTAACAGCAGACCTCTCGACCATTTAAGGATGTTTCTAAAAGACAATGTTAGTTTTAGGCAAAAGCATTCTGACCAGCAAAAGCTATTACATGTGGCACAGCCTTTTGTTTATGTAACACCAGGGAAACTACTCTGTTCACAATGCACTCTGATCCCGAATCCGTGAAAGATAATCAATTGAGCTTAGAGAAGAACGTTTCCTTTCTGACAGCTAGATGGCAGTGGCATCACACTGATCGAAAAGCAAAACCGCATAACACTTAACATGCCACAAATGGCTGCTTAATTTGTTACACAGTTGAATGTGGCGACAACAAATTTGTGTCCTGAGCTGAAAAGGCATGCAGATGCTGAGCTTTACTGTGCTTATAAAGGTGCTGAGGTCAATTATAAAATTAGCAATCTGACTACTACCACAGGTGCAGATATGATGTAGAGAAACTGAGAGGTGAAATCCTGTAACCAAATCATTAAAGGCAGCAGAAAAGTGGCCATTTTCAAAAACTCCCATGACAAATTCTACCCTATGAATACCCCTAAAGTGAATACCCCTGATAGTCAAAATGCTTTAATAAGTTTCTGTAAGCAAATCCTGGCACATTTAACAAAACTGATAGACTCTATACCAATCTATCTAAGCCCTGGCTTCCCACACAAGCAGTTCCAAAATCAGCCCGGTGGGGGCAGCATTGACCCACCAGATTCTGAGGAAGGCCTGCTTTTCCAAAGTCTGGGCAAGGGAATCTAAAAGAAAAATTAAAGAATGTTGACAGCAGACATGGCTGCACTTGGTGCTGCAGTTTCTGAAGTGTTTTGTCTCTAACTGCTGTACCAGTCGACCAGAGACTATATGACCACAGATACACCCCATTAAACAGCCTAATACAGAAAACCTGCTGGCAGCGAGGACTAAATCAACAGTCCCTGATGTTCCTGTGCTAAAACACACAGATTAGCCCCCCCCGGTATTTCCACCATGGTGTCATACACACACAGAGGTTCAGCCATACAGATAACAGTATTCGTTGCTTGTTTCCTGTTTTGACAAAGAGAGAACAGCACAGTAAGGTGCAGAAAAAGGCATCATGGGAAACAGCAGTAGTCTTTGCTACATTTCATCTGCGGCGTTGGCATCTGTTGCAGGGAAAAAAAAAAGAAAATATTTCACAGGTCTGCCAAGTACAGCAGGCCTGCTGAAGTACACGTACGACAGGCCCGTGAGTGTGTGTGTGTGTGGGATGGAAACGTATGTTTGTAGACACATGCCAGCTTTTCAGCAGGTAGCTTAAAATGTTTTTAGAGGCGCAGGATGCCATATGTTTACAGCATAGTTTCAGGAACAGTGCATATATTTAACAGATTGAAACGACTGCTGCTGAAACTATCCAGATAGAATGGATGAGGGAAAAGTGCGGAAGCGAGGGCATTTCTGAACTTCTGTCTTAGAACCGAACTTAGGGAAACTTTTCCCAGAACGTAACAGATAAGCCCAGGTGAAGTATCAGCAGATTTAGCCGCCCCCCCATCGGAAAATGAGGGGCCAGGTTGTCATGTGACAACCGTGACATGGAGGTCAGCGGAAGTGTTAACATTGATCTGGGATTGATACCCATGGGGAGAATTCAGTCAATAAGTGAACTGACTGGGCTAGGAAATCATTCAAAATAAAAAAGGAACTAATGTCTACATAAAATAGCTTGGCACTGAACAAACTCTGGAGGGCACTGAACAAACTCTTTTGGGACCCGGAAGAGAATCACATAAAAGAATGAAAAGGCTTTAACCTGAGCTGGGAAATGGCATACATAAGGATTACGCATAAACACGTCCGAACACGTCTGACAAACTAATCCTGTGGCTGCAATTCTATCTCATTTATGAGGCTAGACAGGTCTGTGCAGATGGGATGGTCGTGGTAGCTGCTGGGGGGGGGGGTGCAGATTTCAGACAGGAGAAATTCCACAATAAATTACGAGGCTAGGGAAAATCACTGGGCTGACCTGCAGTACAAGGAGTACTGGGCACTGATCTGTGAAACAGTGGCATTCTCCTTTCAGGAGGAGGGGCCTGCTTTCTGGGTGGGGTGGGGGGGTAAGCATGTGCGAGCAAAGATCACCAGGGTCCAGCCTGTGGGGTCAGGGTATGTGAGTCTAGGGGGGGGGTGTCTCTGGTTATGAATTTGCTCCTATCTCTGAGGGAGATGAAAAAACACCTCCGTCATCGGGAGTCATCCACAGACAATGAGCCCCCCCCTCCTGTCCAGGGGACCCACCTGCGGGATCTGAGAGGCGAGCTGCCCGCGTACATAGCACCACCGAGGGCATGCAGACCCGCTCACCTGTGCTTCTCACCCACCCCCCAGGTGAAAAAGTGGGTAGGGACTCCTCACAGACACCCCGCCTCCGCCCCGTCTGCTCTTTCGCATCTAAAAGTGACGCCCGCCCAGGTTAATTTCAGTCTTTATTTTCGCAGCCCCATTTTCAGCTTGCGTGCGATTTTGTATTTTTTTTTTTTCGTCTCCAACTGGCGCCAAAATCCACAAGCCGGCAGTGTCGGGAGGCTTGGGGGGGCTGACGTTAATGGTGAAAATTAGGCTGCCCTTTTTCGACGGGCTCCCGGGGCGGGATTACCTGGCGCGTTGGTGCCCGTGACAGGCGCCCCGTCGAAGTGATGGACGACAACGTGACTCACCTCTGCTGGCTCCTGCCGGGTCCCTCTGGAAGAGGAAATATGGGGGAGAAGGGAGACACAGGCAATTAGTATCCTTTTGGCAGAATCCGAGGCTGGCTTTGATGGAGAGGCAGTGAAGCTCTTATGCTCAGGCAGAGCGGCAGGCCTTAGGACACATTTACCTTGGAAAAAAAATGAAACACTAACATAAAAAATAGGAAAAAGTAAACCAGACTGATTTATTGTAAATTAAATCTTTTCATTGATATTTGAAGGGGAAAAAAGCAATTCAATTTATGATTAGCCGCTTACCCACGATACTTAATTGATTTGCTGCGGGGGGAGATGAACAATTGCCGTATTAAAGCCGTTATGTTTATCAGATGCACGTACTAAAGCGGTAAATCACCCTGAAAAAAACCGCGGATATTTACTGCCCTCCGCTGAAATATACACCTCACTGCTTTCATAAAAAAAATCCCTTATAACCTTTTTTTAAAGCTCACCCCCCCCCCCCCCCCCCCCCCCCCCGAATATCTTTGTTTGATTTGCTATGTTTCACACAACAACCCAACGACACTCGTAATGATCTGGTTGTTAGTGGGAGTCATGTGGCCAGTTGTAGTTCAGTTAGGGAAGAGCAGGTGGCTGCTGGGGGGATGAGGGGAGGGGGAGACAGGGGGGTCTGTAGAAAAATCTTGGCCAAGGTTGAAACGGCTACATGGGCCCAAGGTGCCATTCGTGGCTGGGGAGCAGCTGGAAGTGATACCAGAAAACATGGCGCAGGAGAAGCAGTTTGAAAACCACATGGCTGGGCTGTGTTTTCACACTGTTCCTAGCAATTTGCTCTGTCTGCCTGTGGAGCAACTCCAAAAGCTTGCCGTTCCCAGATTCATTTGGGGAATGACGCGGAGGCCGGGCACAAACACCATATGGTGGTTTTACAAATGATAGCGGCTCGTTAGCCACGGCGATGGTGACAGGGTTAGTGTTGACAAGGGATCGTTTTCGTTCATTAATGGTCGGAGCAATCTGGGTCGGAACCTGCTAGAAGAGGCTGGGTTAAGGTCAGTGGGATATGCAGGTGAGTGGCCTTTCATACTAGACTGTGGATTTTTCTCACAGGCGATTGTGTAGTTGTACCCTGAGGGGCACGTTTGTGACAGTTTTGGTTTCATTCCCGTGAGACAGAAATCAAATTCACCATACCCATCCAGTTGTTCTTCGGGTTGATATTAAAACCGTTTCCCCCACTCTCGATATGGTAGACTGTGGGCTAACCCTTGGAAATTAAATATTTACTTGGATCCAGTTGAACAGTGTTGGGCATTTGGACAAGATTTTGTTTCTACCAACCAGTTGAGTCACACAGTCACAGTCGCAGTGTATTCACCTGGTTGGTAGAACAAAAACTTGTCTGGATTACCCACGATATGTATCTTCTGGATCTGAAATGCCCAACACTGAAGTTCACTTTTCAGACCTTGTGTGCTTGTCAGAAATATGTCTCCGGTTGGTTCTCCAGGAATCCCATTCAAGATCACTGCCTTCTCTCTGTCCAGGAGAAACCTTTAACTCTGTATCAGTTCAACAGCACTGCAGAGAACAAAACCAAATCCAGAGCACTGAGAATAACATGAGGGTAGCAGAGTGGCCTCGGAAAGGCAGAACCGAAGACAGCTATCGAACTCATGCATCAAGTGTATTCGAAACTAAAATGAGCATCTTACAAACCTCACTAAACACCTCACAGACTATACTAAATGGACACTTTAAAATTGTACTATCTACAGATTGTACTAGATAAACAGCCTGTACTATATTAACACTGTACAGACTTAATCAACAAATAAAGTGTATTCAAAAGTAATATTTTACATACCTTAAACAGCTTACAGACTTAATGAATGATTTACAGAAAGTACGAAATGCACATTTTACAGGCTATACTGATAGAACACTTCAAGGCTATTTACAGACTGTATTAAATGAGCATTTTACAGACTTAATAAAGTGTCTTAATCGAACAAATTTACAGAAATTAATACTTTTAAATCTATACTACATAAATGATTTACACACTGCATTAGGTGAACTCTTTACAGGCTGTGCTAAATCTTCACTCTGACAAGTGTAAGAAAGTACACACTAAAAACAAGAATACTTTTAGGGAAACAGACATACTGAAGTTGGGTTTCCCTTCTGGTCATAAACAAAGTCAAACCTCACAGAGCGTTCTCTTTTGTCCATTGTCTGAGCAGACCACAGTCACCTTTTCTGTGAGCTGAAAAAAGTGCCTTTACTGCCCAACCGATGTTTATCTGTTGTGCTGTTAGACCTATTCCAGTCTTAGGAGAGAGGTGTAAACTTCATGATCCATTTGTGCTGATGGTAAGTGGGGTCATTTGGCCTCCCTGCACAGCCTCTTCATGCTGAGACCTACGTCGGCCATGACGAGGTTTCCTCAAATGCTTGTATTGAATGTAAGCCAAGATCTGCACCATGGTAAATACAACCTTCTGAGATAAGACACAAATAACAGCTTTATTCTAGCTGCCCATAATAATGTTTTTAAAACGCAAATAAAAGAGAACAACAGGAGCATGAACAAACTCAATGCCAAATGTCTCTATTTGCTGAAAGCTAGAGGCATGTCTCGGGTCCCAGGCCAGTAATCACAGTGTAACACGTTGCTGTTTTTTTAGGATGGCGTGTAACAGACAAACGTCCACTGAAGAGAGGAAGAAACACTTTTTTAAGCCTTTGGCGTACTTTAGTAACGGAAGTGGTCGGACCAAGCCTCTGAATGCTCACAGCGATCATCAGCTCAATTTAGGATCTCTATTTATCATGGAAATGGTAAAAAAAAACCTGGCATGAATGCAAACTGAGAAAGGAAGACACACCTGTAGGCTTCCTATGACACAGAGCTTACAATTTCCACCTAATTCCCATGTCCAGAATTGGGATCTTCTTTGTGTCTAAAATTGCTTTGAAATTTAAAATTTACAGTACTTTACAGGACTCATTCAGTAGGAATTATCCTTCCAACCATTTTCTGAAACCGCCTGTCCTATTCAGGGTCGCGGGGGTCCGGAGCCTATCCTGGAGGCTATGGGTGCAAAGCAGGAACAACCCAGGATGGGGTGCCAACCCATTGCAGGGCACAAGGCAGGAACAACCCAGAATGGGGCGCCAACCCATCGCAGGGCACAAGGCAGGGAACAACCCAGGATGGGGTGCCAACCCATCGCAGGGCACAAGGCAGGGAACAACCCGGGATGGGGTGCCAACCCATCGCAGGGCACAAGGCAGGGAACAACCCAGGATGGGGTGCCAACCCATCGCAGGGAACAACCCAGGATGGGGTGCCAACCCATCACAGAGCACACTCACACACCATTCACTCACACATGCACTCCTACAGGCCATTTGGCAACTCCAATCAGCCTCAGCATGTTTTTGGACTGCGGGGGGAAACCGGAGTACCTGGAGGAAACCCCACGATGACACTGAGAGAACATACACACTCCACACACATGGAGCTATGGCGGAGACTCGAACCCAGGTCCCAGAGGTGTCAGGTGAAATATCCTTTAAAATGCTAGATGTCCTTAAATGTTGCATCTCTCAACTGACCTGCATTTGCCACCGGCTCTCCACCGTGAAGCGACCGAGACAATCGTCAAAGACATTCACATCCAAAAAATACACATGCGCCTACTTTGCCAAAACTTATTTTTCATCTCTAAATTCCACAGGTTTACCTTAATGGACCGTTGCAACGATTTACGGCCCTGCTGTTTAAATAGAAAAGTGAACAATCTGAAAACTTAGCACAAACCAAGACAAACATGAAGCTGTATTTTAAGGAAGCAAATTATTCTACTCATGACAAAAATTGTACAATGACTTCACCAGAGAACATGAAAATATAACACAGTAACTACCTGCACTACCTAAAGGAAAAGTTTCAATATCAACATAATATTACAAGAATAACAGACTAAACTACCGAGCGGTTAGTGTCGATTAAGCACTATACGTGAGGTAACAAATTGTTGACAACCATCAAAACATCTCTGAGAGAGTAGGATCGATATTACATTACGTCGCTAACTGAAAGGTTCGGGATCCTGACCTGAATCCTACCCTGAAGATTAAAAAGCAAAATATATACACATTGTTCAGGAACAAGTGGCAGGTAGGGTCTGCAGCGGAGATGCACTTGGGCCTGGATGCGTGATTCTGGAAGAGGACATGTCCAGCTGTTAAAATGGACTGACGATAAAACGTTAGACGTGTACGTGCTGTGCCGACCTTCTAAGACGAAGCAGTCCGCTAAGAAAATAAATAATGTGACGTGATGCAGACGTGCCAAACAATAAAAAGTCACGAAAAGCCATATAAATTGTTAATATGTCTGCATTCTCAGCTGTAGTCGTTGATGGTTTTACATCACGTGGGCGATGCACATGAAGTGAAATGATTACAGACAAAGCGACACACGGTGTATTGAGTTCCTCTCCAGTGTTTAACTGCACTTCTACTCATTATTATATAATGACACTGTCATTAACCAATGGAAAAAAATCCATCATTTTCACAGAAACTACAATATAAATGTAAAACAACATAATGAGACACTCAGCACCACAAATACTGTAAAAACCGATCATTCGGTTACGGTGAAAGGTTCAGTGTTTTAATTGGACTTACATAGACCGTCATCAGCAAGGCAGATATGTCAACATGAGACAAACTAATCAAATTTATAGTATATTTACAATTAACAATAACGTTATTAGCTATCGACATCAAGTTGTTAAAATTAGCGATATAAAGTAATCCAAAAGACCATCATGAAAAGAGATGCTAACTAATACAAACATAAGTACTAGTTAAAAAGATGGTGTCATAAAACATCTTTTCATCGGTCAATTAGATCTCAAACGCTATTAGTAGACAGAGGAGGGCGTATTCCGTCAAAAAGTGGACACGAGGACGTACGATGATTACCTAGCACTGCTTCTCCTAGCCACCATT